GGTGAAAATACACATAGCCAAAGATACACCATTTCAAAAATTTCTACATACACAGTTCAGTGACATTGACTACGCTCTTCCAATTGTGCTGTTATTCTCACTTAAGATGAAGGCCTTTCCCCATTTTTTTAAAAAAAATTCTCATTCAAAATTTATACTCATATTGTTTTGTGACATTGGTTGCAATCCCTACAATGTGACAGCACACTCCCCGTTTCTACCCCGGGTTCCCTGTTTTTACTGGTCCAGTTCCTGTCCCTACCTGCCTTCTCATCCTGCTTTTGGAGAAGAGTTACCCATTTGGTCTCGTATATTTGATTGAACTAAGAAACACTTAGCTCCTCATGTGTGGTATTTTTTGTTTTATAGGCCTGTCTAATCTTTGTCTGAAAAGTGGGTTTCAGGAATGGTTTCAGTTCTGGGTTAGCAGAGTGTCCCGGGGCCATAGTTTCAGGGGTCTCTCCAGTCTGTTAGACCAGTAAATCTGGTCTTTTTATGTGGATTTGAATTCTGATCTACATTTTTCTCCTGCTCTGTCTGGGTGTCTCTGTTGTGATTCCTGTCAGAGCTGTTGTTGGTGGTAGCCAGGCACCATCTAGTTCTTCTGGTCTCAGGTTGGTGGAGTCTCTGGTTCATGTGGTACTTTAGGCCTTTGGGCTAGTATTTTCCTTGTGTCTTTCGTTTTCTTCATTCTCCTTTGTTCCAGGTGGCTTTGCTCATTTTTTAATCAGCTTATTTGTCTTTTTGTTATTGAGGTGTTGAAATATTCTATAGATTTTAGATATTAGACCCTTGTTAGATATGTCGTAGGCAAAAATTTTTTTCCAGTCTGTAGTTTCTCTTTTTACACTTCTGGTGAAGTCTTTTGATGAACATAAGCATTTAATTTTTAGGAGCTCCCACTTGTCTAGTTTATCTTCTGATGTTAGTGCATTGTTATTTATGGTTTGTGGAGGAGCTTTTTTAAACCTTTTTCTTTTTTAAGATTAAAGACCAGAATGGTCAGATACACAATAACAAAATGCTGCAACAGAATCTGAATTAAAAGACCCAATTTAAGGTTATTGGAGCTGGTCTGGAGTCCTTGAGTGGTACAAATGGTTAATGTTCATGGCTGGTAACTTAAAGGTTAGAGGCTCAAATCCACCCAGAGGTGCCTTGGAAGAATGGCCTGGTAGTCCACTTCTGAAAAATCAACCATTGAAAACCCTATGGAGCACAGTTCTACTCTGACACACCAACTTGATGGCACCTGGTGGTGGTGGCGCTACTCTGACTCACAGCAAAGGGAAACGTTTTGTCTCATAGGTATCCCTTCTCGGTAGGGGGTTTCTAAAGTCTCCAGTCCTCCTCAGCCTTATTTCTTCCAAGGTTCTTTTTTTCCTTTCAAAGCAAAACCTTTAAAGATTACTGAAAAAATGACAACATCAAAGTTGAGTATATTGAAGAAAATATAAATTACAGAAGAAATTTATATAGAAGAAAAAATAAACTACAAGGACCCTAGACTCTGGATTAAATGCAGTTCTCCATGACAACTGTCTTAGTCATCTAGTGCTGCTATAACAGAAATACCACAAGTGGATGGTTTTAACCAAGGTAATTTATTTCCTCACAGTTCAAGTAGGCTAAAAGTCCAAATTCAGGGCATCAACTCCAGGGGAAGGCTTTTTCTCTCCGTTGGCCTTCTTCTCTCCTGGACTAGGAGCTTCTCTGCACAGGGACCCCGGTCCAAAGGACGTGCTCTACTCCTGGCACTGCTGTCTTGATGGTATGAGGTTCCCCACTCTCTGCTTGCTTCCCTTTCATCTCTTCAGAGATAAAAGGTGGTGCAGGCCACATCCCAGGGAAACTCCCTTTACATTGGATGTGACCTGGGTAAAGGTGGTATTACAATCCCACCCTAACCCTCTTTAACATAAAATTACAATCACAAAATGGAGGCCAACCACACAATGCTGGGAATCACGGCCCAACCAAATTGATACACACATTTTTTGGGGGATGTAATTCAAACCATGACAACAACTAATTAGCGTTGAGGGCTTTTAGGTCACAATCATACTTTACAAGCAATAAAGATGAACACTTGAAGTCTTGATGTCTCAAAGGGAACTTTTTATGACTAACTGCAGCAAGAACGATATGGAGACAATGTGGACTAGAGCTTACACCTCAACAATGGAAAAGCATCTGTATTCTTATGGATGTTCCTAACTTTTGTATGTACCTGACAAGATTTTCTAAATGGTGGCACCCCTCATAAATTTACCTTACAACAAACCTATAACAACTCTTCCTTTTCCCCCCGTTTCCCTTTCCTCATAGCTGCTGATCAGGAAGCCCACAGTCCTTGATTTTAGACATGATTATGATGAATCAGTAGCTCTCGAAGTGATTCCCACTCACGTCGACCCCATGTGTGTCAGAGTAGAGCTGTGCTGCATACAGTTTCCACTGGCTGATTTTTTGGAAGCAGCGGGCCAGACCTTTCTTCCAAGGCACCTCTGGGTGGATTCCAACCTCCAAACTCTTGGTTAGCAGCTGAGCATGTTAACTGTAACACCTAAAGACTGTAGCCAGAGGTAAATCAGAAAATAGAGAACATAATACAAGAACAGAGAAAACTAGAGATTTTTATATTAAAGAATGTGAAGTTTATAATTGTTTCACCCTCACAGAATGAATGAATGAATAAACTCAAGCAAAAAGAACACTGGATATTAAACTTTGCCTGGGTTATTTTCCAGGAATGTCACATCCTGAATCCTGTTTAGCTTTCTTAAAACATGTTCTCTAACCTCTAGCCCACTGCTGTCGAGTTGATTCCGACTCATAGTGACTCCGTAGGGTTTCCAAGGTTGTAAATCTTTACAGAAGCAGACTGTCACATCTTTCTCCAGCGGAGCTTCTGGTGGTTTTGAACTGCCGAACTTTTGGTTTGCAGTCAGGCACTTTAAGCACCGTACAACCAGGGCTCCTTTCTCTAACCTCTAGGGACCACCTATTCCAGAAAGCCTGCCCTGATTTCCCACCCACATCCAACCCTCCTCTGAGTTCCTTGGACTTCACCTGGCCTCCTCCTGGGGCACTGGTTACTATTTGTTGTATATTATGATCAGTTGGATCCTTATTTTGCACCCTGCATTAACAGTGATAACTACCATATATACAGTACTTACAGTTTGCTGATTCGTTTCACATCTCTAACGATAACAATTAACATTTATTGTTGTAACCTGGAGCCCTGGTAGCACAGAGCTCAGGCGCTCGGCTGCTAACCAAAAGGTCTGTGGTTCAAACCCACCAGCTGCTCCATGGGAGATCTGCTTCCGTAAGGATTACAGCCTTGGAAACCCCACAGGGCAGTTCTATTGTCCTATAAAGTCACTATGGGTTGGAATTGACTCTACAGCAAAGGGTTTTTTGGGTATTGTTGTGACCATGGACCAAGGGACTTTACTTGGAAAAATCTCATGTCCTACCTACACAATCCTGTGGTGTGCCCCACGTGGCCGACTTTTCAGAAGAAAGCTCCAGGCCTTTCTTCCAAGGTGCCTCTGGGTGGGTTTGAACCACCAATCTTTCAGTCAGTAGTCAACTACTTAACCATTTGTGCTACCCAGGGGCTCCTCCTAGTCCCTTCCTTCAATTCTCTTCAATTAACCCTTTGAGTTGCCACCTGTCTCTTACAGTGACAGTCTGCCCACTGCATCACAATGCAGCCTGTCCCACTGCACAGCAGCAATCTGTGCCCCCGTGGCTCCTACCTTTTGGTTTTTAACGCCCCCTCTTGAACAACCAAGAACTTCCAGAGGATTCAGAGACAGGCAGATCTAACTTCAGGTGCATATTTTTAATGTAGTCCGGTGTAAGGACAAGGTAATGGATCTTATTTTTCCCAGATTGTTACCCGGTTTTAGCAATAGCATTTACTGAGGGATCTGCCCTTTCCCCATTGATGTGAAAAGTACCTTGTTCTGAACCCAAGTGCACACAGGGATTAAGCGCATTTCTGGACTCTGCTTGTTGGTGGCACCAGCTCTTGATACCACAGACTGACGCTTGAACATCCTGTGGGGATGGCCCCCCTATTTTCTCTCCCCGAGTTCTTTAGCCTGTTTTTCTATAGGAACTAGAGAAGTAGTCTGACTAGACACGAAGGGGAAAAATACTTTTTATTGGGATCACATTTATAGACATCCTTATGATGTCTTCCTACCCTAGAATAGGGTATGTCTTCCACCATAAATTTGGAGGCTTGGGAATTCATTATTTTTTCCGTCATCTAAATGCATGTTACTGCTTACATTTCAAAGAGAAAGGTCACAAGTCGTGGTGGTGCAAGGGTTAAACACGTGGCTGCTAACGGAGCAGCTGGCGACTGAAACTCACCCAGTGGCTCTGTGAGAGAAAGGCCTGGGGATCTGCTCCGTAAAGATTACAGCCTAGAAAACCCTATGGGGCAATTCTACTATCACGTTGCTATGAGTTGAAATCAACTCGACAGCACTCAACCACCACCACAAAGGCCGTCTAGCACCCTAGAACTTAAGAACGAGATGGGATGCAGGTATCATCTGGTCCAACATTTTCCATTTACAAATGAAGAAATGGGCCCAGAGAAGGGGGTGGTGTGGCCCAGGTCCCGCAGTAACGGGAATAGGATTCAGGTATCCCGGCCTGTCTCTGGGGCTCCTTTCTCCACTACGTGGTGGCTGTGACAACCTAGGTTCCTGAACCATCTCCCTCCGGAGGCCTCAGGCTGGTGAAGGAGATCCCTAAATCCATGAGGGCCCTACGCAGCATTCTGCCTCCCCACCTCTGGGCCCCATCACACAAAGTCAGTGATCCACAACGAAGAGAAAAGATATTTAATGATTTCTCAGACTAATCTCTTAAAGCGCTCAAAAGTGTTTTCACAAGTGCAAGGGGAAGGATTGTTCTCAGCCAACATTTACCAGTGATTCCGACACACGCAAAAAAACTCCAGAGCACGGTGCTTTATACTTACTTTTAATTTCTGCACTGAAAAGGAAAAGGAAGGTGAAAACGATGACAGATCAGTTAGTTGGCCCTTAATCTTTGCTCTTGGGGAAAAGAGGGGAAAGGCGGCAGGAAAACACCAAAGCATGAGTGAGAGTGGATGCAGACGTCTCTGTCCCACTAACAGCGGCCGACGACCTGGAGACGGTGCTGCCAACACGCGGGCTTGTAAACACCGACCGTTAACAGTCAGACACGTTAAAAAACAAAACAAAACAAAAACCACAATTCCATTCTTAAAATCAAGCACAAAAACTGACAATGAAATACACCCCAGGTTTGTGTGTGCCCCGTGTGACTGGAAGAAGGCTTTCTGGAGGCAAAACCACGGCAACAAAAACACCCAGAAACACAGATTTCCGGGTGTGTGGAACTACAAACAACATTCACTCTTCCTCGGCCCAGCAACGTTCTGCAGGTAGAAAGTGGGGAGGCATGGCTCTCTCATCTGTGCTCCTCCCTCGTTACAGAACAGGAGCCGCAGGCTCGGGGTCTCATGAGGCTGCTGCCTCTGGAATGTTCAACACGCTGAACGCTCTGCTGGGCGGTTAGGTTTTAGTTATGCTCCACACGTGGTTTAAGCGCTCATTTTATTTTTCATGTGCAAACTGTTACTGTCTAAAGCTTTCAGGACATGTACAGATATGGACACCCTGTAGAGACGAGGATCTCGCTTGTTATGGCCCTCCTCCCTGAGGCGGGGCGGGGGTGGGGCGTGTTACAGAAACATCGAGAGAAAGAACACGTTCTGCTGCAGTGAAGTTCTAGTCCCTGATCCGGTCGGTCCGAGGGGGTGGGCCTCAGTAGGTGATTGTCCACTCTTTGACGGAGGCGTCGTGGGAGGTTGTGACCAGCGTGTGCTCGTCCAGCCAGGCCAGGCTGCTGACGTGGTGTAGCCTGTGTGCATCTGGGAAGAAAAGGGCTTGGTTTTAAGGAAAACCCAACTTAGCATCTACGTATACCTCACGCGCTAGGAGGATGGAACCTCCTGTGCCTGAAGCACCAACAGGATCCCAAGAAACAGACCCTCTTTCCCTCCTGCAGAAGGCTGACTCACAGCGACCCCATGTGTTACAGAGTAGAACTGCTCCATAGGGTTTTCTTGGCTGTAATCTTCATGGAAGCAGACAGCCAGGCTTTTCTTCTATGGTGCCATTGGTGGGTCCACACTGCCAACCTTTACATTATTGCCGATCGGAAACCACTTACGCCACTAAGGGTCTGCCTTGCCCCCCAAGGGGTGAAAATCTATTTGCTTTTATGTACAGAGTAACAATATATGTATAACACGCAGATACACAGCATATCTGTGGTACTATCGTGGGACAGTGATTAGGAAAAAAACATCTAAAAAGGTGATAATGAATAAAAGGGGGAGGATGTGTCTGAGCTATGAGTCACTAACACTTCCCTCTGTGAGGGCTGCACCTCGGTGACCACTCACAATTCCAACAGACAACGCTGACGCTGCCTGTGCATTTGCTCTTTCCTCTGTGGCCTGCCCCTTTCGGAGCCTCCCAGGAGGGGGGGGACCCTGCTCACGTTCTGCTTCCCTGCCCCTTGCCCCAAGCTGCACACGGGCCAGGGCTCGAAGGCTGCAGCTCATCTGGCCAGACTCAGTCCCAAGACCCCAGCACAGCCCACAGCCTGATGCCAGGAGCCCAACTGGGGGCGGCAAGTGGGTGCTGATGCGGGGTAGCCCCAAAGAGCGGCAGGGCCCAAGCTGGTGGGACCAGTGGGGCTGGAGTGTCCATCCACACCACCAGGCCAACTCCTGACCTTAATGTGGAGAATTCACCTGTGTGCACAAAATAGCCTGATGCTCGCGTTGATGGGCATTGGGTCACCTGCGACTCCCCCTCCCCGAGCAGACAAGGACTTGGACCCGGAAATGGTGTGCCAGTTCCTGAGCTGTTCTCTACCTTGCCAGCTCCCTCTGCTATCTTTCTTGGTCTACTTCCTCTGTGACCTGACTTGACTCTCACTCCACGGCTGTGCGTTTCCTTACAGACCCGGAAGGTGGCGTCTGCACCTCCTGCCTCCCCTGCCTGCTGCCTGGTGAGTGCCCAGATGCAGCTTCATGGTGTCCCCCTCAGCCTACCCAGGGCTTGGGAAAAATATCTAGGGGGTGGGCTCAGAGTTACTTTTAAACAAGAGAAAGCTCAGGAGCCCACTTATGTTGAAAACAAAGGAGACTACCTGCTGTGTAGAAAATGGAGTGAAGACTGGAGGGGAGCGAGGCTGCCTGTGGAGTCCAGTGGAGTCCAGCCAGGGGCTCGGGCAGGATTCGAGGCGGGGAGAGGACCTGCGAACCACCTCGGAGCTGTGCAGTCCTGGGTGGCAGCCACTAGTCCCACATGACAACAGATTCTTGAAATGGGGCTAGTGCCACACGTGGAAATGAGACTAGGCTGGATCAGATAAAATATATTATCAAAAATACTTCCCCGTTTCTATTTACTTGTTAAAATGTGGCTGCTAGAAATTTCTACAGTGCATGAGCAGCTTGCATTCTACTCCTGGACACTGCTGCCTGAGATGGAGGTGGGGGGAGGGACAGGAAGGAGATGTCAACAGTGCCCCCCTTACTCAGCACACAGTATCCTATGCAGGAAGCTGCCTGCTCTCTCATGGGGAACACACAGGCCCCCAGGTCACCTGCGCACACCTACCATGACCTAGCAGAGCACCTGGTGTTGGCCGGAAAGGAGGGGGAGCCCTGCCTCTACCAGGACCACCGTGCAGAAGCTCAGAGGGATACTTGGTGCCCAGGAACCCTGCCTAGGGAGGCTGAGGCGCGGCACGGAATCACCTTGGATCTTGACTCTGGTCTCGGGATCACTCAGGGTCCAGACGTACACCATCATGTCCATGCCACCAGAGGCAAAGTGCTCGTTGTCCGGGGACCAAGCCAGGCAGACGATCTTCGCATGGTGTCCGTAGAAAACATTGTTCTCCTAGTTTGAGGTTGAAGAGAGAGAAGGGTAGGCTGGGGCTCAGGCCAGAGTTCCCACATTCACCCCATGTAGCCGTCACAGCCACAATGGGAACAGGCACTCACTGAGCGTGTACACTACGCCAGGGAACACTGGGGGCCTCACTGACCCTCTGCCAAACCCAGGAGGCAAGAGAGGTGCAGTCCAGGCCCCTGGAGCCCCTCCATCACACATGGCTCATGCAGAGCTCCCCGAGCCCTTGGTCTAGTGAGGCCACAGGCAGAAACACTTGCTAAGAAACGTAGGAGAGCAGCATCAGGAGCGTGTGACCATGAGGCTGGCCTGCCTCCCCCAGGGTCCTCCCTGGGTGGGCAGGCCGAACCCATCTGTGCATCTGGGTGGAGCCCGCTGAGGGTCTGGCGAGATGCATCCCCGGGAGCCACAGGCTTCGTCCGTGACCATCCTGGGAATGCCCCCACCAGCACCCTGTACAATGGGACTTGAAGCACGTCGCCCAGGGGGTAGGTGTGGAGAAGCAACACTTTTCCTAACACAAAACGTTTCTTCTTCAAAGCTATCTTGTCCTCGCTCCCCACCTTTTTTAAATCCCTGGAGATGGTCAACCTGGACAGGATTTTCTTTTTCAGGTTTGTCTAGTTCATGCTTTGCTGCTCTACCCATGTGGAGTACTTAAGCCTGCCATGCCACATGGCGACTTGAAATCTAATCAATGCAGCCCCCCGGGTGCACCGTCTCGCTCATCAAGAAGGCCACAAGGTGCTGAGGCAGGAGGGAGCCTTCTCGGGAGGGGGGCGTTCTGCATCTTGACAGGGATTTGGGTTACACAGGTGTACACATGCCACAAATGTGTGCTTACACTGACCTGGCCTTTTACTATATGTACATTTTACCACAAAATGAAACGCTAAGCAACTACTGTCCTCTAGTTACTAACATGTAGCAAGCTAAAGTATTGATGGAGCATGCACTGATGTCTGTATTTTACTTTAAAATGCACCAAAAATAAGACGGATGGACAGATACGTGATAGAATCTAAAATGTTAATGGTAGATTCCTGGTAAATTCTTTTGACTATGCTATCGATTTGAGAACTGTCATAGTAAACACTGGGGGTGGGCAGGCAGCTGGCACATTGGAGAGTTGTGGAACTCGGGTCCCTCCACCTGTCTTGGGCTCCCAGTGCAGGTCACACCCACTATTTTACACCGAGCAAGTGATTTAATCCCTCCAATGCAGTCTCCTCATTTGTAAAACGGGACTAACACCACCCAGCTCAAGGTCTCCAGAAGATTCAATGAGCCAATTAATGTGCCTTTATGTGAGCTCACTTGGCTGTCTTCCAACGCCCTTGTCATGGACTGAATTGTGTCCCCCCAAAATATCTGTCAACTTGGCTAGGTCATGATGCCCAGTATTGTATGACTGTCTACCATTTTGTCATCTGATATGATTTCCCTATGTGTTGTAAATCCCATCACTATGATGTAATGAGACGGGTTAGTGGCAGTTATATTGATGAGATCTGCAAGGTCAGATAGTGTCTTAAGCCAATGTCCTTTGAGATATAAATGAGAGAAGCGAGTAGAGAGACGGGGGGACCTCATAACACGAAGAAAGCAGCACTGGGAACAGAACGTGTCTTTTGGACCTGGGGTCCCTGTGCCTGAGAAGCTCCTTGACCAGGGCAAGACTGATGACAAGAACCTTCCTCCAGAGCCGACAGTGAGAAAGCCCTCCCCTGGAGCTGATGACCTGAATTTGGACTTGTAGCCTACTACACTGAGAGAGAATAAATTCCTCTTTGTTAAGGCCACCCACTTGTGGTATTTCTGTTATAGCACCACTATATGACTAATATAGCCCCACTGTACTCAGAAAGGATTCACTTGCAGGTGTCTTTAAAAATGGACCCCCACCCACCCAGTCACCTAGTGCAAGGCAGTGTTGGACAATCAGTGTTCACGCCTGGCAAGATTTCAGAAGTGACAGAGGCTCAGGGAAAAAATGCCTAGCTTAACCCTTTCACAGGTGAGAAAAATAAAACAGAGGGGTTGGGAAGTCACTGGGGGCCCTGCCTGAACCACAGGCTGGTCTTCTCAGACGAACACGCCACCTCCTGAGTCCTGAGCTTTTTGGCAACTATGTTCTTTCTCGGCTCTAAGGCCCAGAGCCCCTCGAAGGCAGGGGTGGTCTCCTTGTCTAGTCACTCCGGTCCAGCAGCACTGAAGCTGCATGGCAATGCCGCATGCAGCTGCCCAGTGGCGACCACAGAAGAGAATCCCAGGTCTTGCAGCAGTCAAGTTGCAGCCCGCCAGGTGCCTCCGGCCGAGAAAGGAGGCTGGGGCCCACTCACTGAGTAGCCGTCGGCCACGCTGAAGACTGTGACCACTTTGCTGGCATCACACACGGCGAGAAAGGCGCCATCCTGGGAGTAGGCCAGGTCTGTCACGGGGCCTTTGGCCTCCAGTGTCTTGCCCTCGTTCTTCAGCGTGGAGCCCAGGATGGAGTAGAGGTGGACATTCCCGTCCTGTGCAGGAAGAGGACAGGGGAGTCAGCCACCACCCCCACAGAGGTACACTCTCGGTGGGGTGGGGGTGGGGAGAAGTATGAATTAAAAGGGGCTTCCCCCTCTGACCTCTGTTCCAGAAAGGCCACAGCACACACCCTGGCCCTTGCCTCCAGGTGAGCTGCTCTACCCCCCACAGCGCACCGCAGGTACCTCCTAGTGGCTGTTCACGGGTGACCACAGTGGGGGGAAGTTCCTCAGGGGTTATTGGAATGTGGATGCCCAGGCCTAGCCCGCCCTATTCTGGGTGGCTGTGGGTACTTCCGCTGCCCTGTGCTCTCCCCCCGACCCAAGCACTGGGACAGGTTCCAGGCACCGGCTCCACCTCTGGTCTCCCTGGCATAACTAACCTGACTGGCCGACCCATCTCCCAGCAACCTCCCTGTCACTCTTCCTCAGGGAAGCAACGTCTGCTGTCTCCCAGGGTGTGTACCACCTATCCGCAGGCTATCACCACTGACCCCAGGGGTCCTTGAAGCAGGAACACCTGGGGACTTACAAACGCCGCCCCGGCTCTCCCTGGTCACTCTTTGGGAGTGGCACTGGGAACCCTGATTTGGTATGTCCCACCACAGTCCACACCCCAGCCAGGGTGGCTGTGTCCTTACACACCTCCTGCTCCGGGGCAGTGGTCTCCTCATTCCTAACCCCAAGCCCTGCGTGGGGCCTGGCACTGAGGGCAGTAATGCATGCTTGAATGCATCGTGAAGGTTGCAGGTGAGGAGACAGGAGGGACCAGGGACAGGAAGCCACTGGGCAGGGGGTGTCCACCGTCTCCTGCTCAGACACACTCTCCTCCTCTGGCCATCACAGAGCCTTTCGGAGCCCACAGAAAGGTGCCGTGCTCCTGGGATAGAGGTGAGGAAGGGTGCTCTCGGCATGGAAAGTCCCTTGCCCACCAAGTGGTCCCCTGTCCCAACCGGGGAGAGTTCTGGCAGTGCAGGCTGGCACTACCCTGATGACCACTGCGTTTCTGCCCTAGACACTCTGCAAGGATGGGAGGGGCAGGATGGCACAGGTGGGACGGCTTGGGGTGAAGCGGAAGAGACACTGCTAGAGCCAGCGCATCCCAGGCCTTCCTTACCACAGGCCAGGCATTGCAACAAGCCCTTTCCCTGCTCACAGCCACTCGCTCTGGAAGGAAGGCTGGCTGCCTCTGCCTTCTCAGCAGCTGGTGGCAAAGCAGACCTGAGCCCAGCAGGCAGCCCCAAGAGCCTGGCTGTCTTACAACTGGCATCTCCAGGGGAGACGAGCTGAAGCAGCCCTGGCGTGTGGCATGGGGCAGGCACCCCCAAATGCTGACTTCCTTCCCTAGAGGGGTTCAGGGCCGGCCATTCTGGCTGCGGAATTTGGTCAGCAGCAGCTCCAGCCTCCGGGGGCTGGGTGAGGATGAAAGTGCTTAGACCTGGTCCTGGTGTAGAGTGACCGCCCAGGAGGCGCCGGCGCCCATGATCACAGGGCACAAGACCCACACTGCGGGTGACCCCAAGTCAGAACGCAAGGGCAGCCGTGCCACCACCAGGTCAGCGCTTTACTTTGCAGGTTTGAGGACAATGTTCGTCACTCTCCCCCCTGCAATCTACAAACCCGGCTACATTGAACACCAGCTGCTCTGTTTCCAACACCGCTCCCCATACCCCACTCGCCGGGCGGACCTCGTGCACCTTCCCTCTCGGCCAAGATGGCCCCTCCTTGGCCTCTGCCCTGTGAGGGCTCCTTGCCACGTGCCCCTCGCTGGGCCCCCAGCTCATTGCTGCCCCAGTACCTGGACCACAGGCCTCCTACAAGCCTGGGGGCGATACCTGGTCCACCTTCTTCCCCACTGCACCTAGCCCAGCCGGCGCTCAGCACACGGACGTGCTCGCTAACCGCCTGCTGACAGAATGACCAGAGCAGCACCGCCCCTCAAGGCTCGCTCTCATCCTCTGCCAAATCCAGAGAGCAGGAGGGGTGATATCACCCCGGTGTCGCTGCTCGGACACTGAGCACCCACTGCCAGCCCTGCTGCGTGGGCCTCACAAGGCATCGCCAAGGGCCAGGAAGCCTGGGAGAGGAGGATGGGGAGGCTCTCCGGTGGGGCTGCAGGAGGCCTCTGGCTCCATATTCAGGGTCCTTGTGCCCCACCCCCCTCCCCTCTTCTCTCCTCTCTGAGACAGTCCCGGGATTTGCCCTGTTCCTGCCACCCCTGCAATTCCCCAAAACAGCAGGACAGAAGCTGTGAGGGAAAGGGGTCTTACCGCGCCCCCAACGGCCACCATGTCACCCCCAGGGTGTACCGCCACCACCTCAGGCTCGTAGTCGGGGTCGATGCTGAAGCACTTCTTCTGATCCTTGAGCAGGACAATCTACAAAACATACACAGAGGCAGTCAGAGGGCCAGTCAGCAGGAGGTGCCCCAGGTCCACACTCAGGCTGAGTTTCGGCACCATCTGAACCTGTTAAGAGGGTGGGACTGTGGGGGAGGGGAGCCAGGCTGGGCTGAGCCACCAAACTGGGTCCAGTCTTGGCCTTGGGACCCTGAGTAGTGTTTCTTCCTCATCTGTCAAAGGGGACAATGACATGGCTGGTCATAGGAAGTACCTCAATCAATACTGGCCGTTATATTTTGATCAAAGATTATTCTATAGAAAAATCCTGATCAAAAGGGGGGTATATGCAGAACAGAATTTCAAATTCTCATGGACTCCAAACTTTCTGGAGCCATGGAGGCAGAAAGACCCCTGAAACTATTGCCCTGAGATAATCTTTAAACCTTCAACCAAAAATATCCACTGAAATCTTCTTTAAACCAAATAGTCTAGCTTAACTAGTAAAAATGTCTACCTTGAGCATTATGCTCTTTTAAGAACTATCTATATGGGATCAAAGTGACAACAGCAACTGGAAAGATTAGATCGGAACCTTAGGGACAGTGAGTTTATGTTAATGGAGGAAGAACAACTCAGAAAAGGAGGACAAGAATGAATGGTTACACAACTCGAAGAATTAATGTCACAAAACACATGTAGAAACAGTTAAATTGGTATATGATGCGCTGTGCACATTCTCAACAATACAATAACAATAATAATAAAAAAAATTGGCTGTTATTATCATCATCACCATTACTGCTAGCTGCACCAGCTTCGATTTTAGGAAAGTCATTATGTTTAAACTCTGCTAATTAGACAAGGCGCATAATAAAGTCCTCATAAAGCTCAGGGAGACAAGATATTGGAAGTGATAACACTCAAAGCCAACAGTGGACATGAATGGAAATGCTTCATTCCCCGTTCTTGTAAGGACTCCACATACCGGCTCCACAGGTCAAAAGAAACACCCTTACCAACTTTAATATGGGGTACATAACCCAGTGCAGGCCAGCACACGATTCTGCACACGGGGCCTGCCTGTCCCTCAGAAGGTTGGGAGCAGGGACAGGTGCTAGGACAGGGGGCTGATGGCAGGGATAAGGAGCACTAATGTGCCCCGCACCCTCCCTGTGACTCATACGTGGAGCCAAGAGGGAGAAGCTTCTGGCTTCTTCTTCCTGTTTCCCGGGGCTAGTCACTTAGGGTGAGCAGCTGTGACGCAGGAGGAAAGAGCCTCCGAGGACTTGGGGATCCCAGCTCTTCCGCAGACAGGCCAGAATCATGAGGCTTTGGGCACGGTTTTCTCTGGAAAATAGGGGGCCAACACCAGCTGCATGGGCTGCTCTGAGGAGCACCTCCAGCACCTCATGAATGGTGGGCACCAAGCTCAACCTCACTGTGAGCCTCAGCACGCAACCCTCACTCTGAACCTGGAGGCAGGGATAGCGGTCATCACCATCACTTTACAGATGAGGAAACGGAGGCCCGGAGACACGAAGGGCCGTGCACAACGCCTTGCAATGAGGAGCCAAGCTGGAACCACAGATCCATGTTCTTACCACTACAGCTGCAAAGTCCAGGTGTAGGCTCGGAAAGAAGCTCCCATCTCAGCCACCTAGACCTTCTAGAACTTGCCCCCACTCTGTGCTCCGTACTGTCTATTCCTCTTGTACCCCACTGACCATCCAGGCTGTCTGTAATAATTACTTGGCAGAAAGTTCTTACTATCTAGGACACACAAAAATCCATTCTCCCCAAGGCAATTAAACTCAAAGAGTGAAGGTGGGGCAGAGGTCCTGAATGGAAGCTTTCTTTAGTGGCTTGATGCTGGTGCCCAGGGGACTCGGTCACACCACCTGCCTTCTGTGGTCTCCACGCTGGGATGCCTGAGGCTGCTGACAGATAACGTTTGCTACAGAGGGAGTTCTGGATGAAGTGGGTCAAGCGTGGAGCTAGTCAAGGGTGCTTTGTTCCAGAAATTCCAAAAAAAAAAACCAGCTGGTCAGTGGCCTTGCTATCTTCTGGCCCAAGTGCTGCCCCACTGGTCATATAGTTTTGGGGAAAGCAGCCAGCAGCTCCAAGCCTCGGCCTCATTTGCAAAAGGAACATTACTTGTATTTCCTTATAACTGTCCCTACGAACTTGTTAGGGATGGGAAAACGAGAGCTCAGAGAGGTTAAGGAAAATGCCTAAAGTCACACAGCTCCAACGCAGGGCTGGGATTTGAACATGAGCAAAGACAGCACAAACGCTGCTACATCTCCTTGACTACACGGCTGGTGGACATGCAGCGTGGCCTGATGCTTTGAGAAGGCAGCTCTGGATTAGGCTGGTTGGGTTCAAATCTCAGCTCTGCATTTTACTAGTCAAGCATCATATCCTTTTTTTGTGCCTTGGTTTCTTCATCTATTAAATGAGGATAATAACCGTCTATCTGGTAAGGCTGTGTGAGGATTAACTGAGTGAATACACGTGAAGCACTCAGCACATAGCAACAAGTTCACAGTATGATGCTCAGAGAGCTGTTGTGATTGTCATCACCACTGGGGAAGTCAAATGGCATGTGAAGGAAACTGAGAAACCAAACACCCTACAGCTGTAAGCTCCAACCTGTTATTCCCCTATCTCTTCCAGCCAAAAATCAAGCCACCACATACCTGTCCGATGCACACGACCACAGTGTATCCCCCTGGGCCGACGGCCACACACTTTGGTTGAATGTCCAGCTTCACCACTCCTTGTCCGCTGATGGAGAGAGGAGACAGTTACAACACTTCAGTACAAAAGTGATTCAGGGAGGTATTAAATATACAGTTACTGCAAAAACCCAGCAACTTAGGATATTTAGGAGGAAGATCTCTACTGAAGGAAAGAGTTGCTAAAATAGGCGAATCCAAAACCAAATACGTTGCTGTTGAGTCGGTTCCGACTCAAGGCAGCCCCATGTGTTACAGAGTAGAGCTGTGCTCCATAGGGTTTTCTTAGCTGTAGTCTTTATGGAAGCAGACTGCCAGGACTTTCTTCTGTGAGGCTGCTAGAGGGGGATAAAAATGACCCACTGACTCCGAGGGCAAATAGATCATAAATCACAGTGGGAGTGAAGGGCTGGGGGTGGGGAGAGAAGAGGTAGCAGTGAGAGAAGTAATGGGAATCCTGGGTTCCAGAATACCTTCTCTTCTAGATTATTTGTGATGCAGTCCCCCCACCCCACCATCCCACCCAGTCATGGCTTTGTCCCGTCTGTCGGCCAAAGGCACTAGTTTCCTTGGTATAGATGACACTGAGGTCTGCTCCCCCACTCCCACGGTGGTAACCAGTCTCCCTCAGAAAGGTAACTTTTAAGGATAGCTTATTCCTTGTTTTCACATGGTGGTAACTATGTGTTATCCTGCCCTGGCTAGTCTACTGCTCTGAAAACACAACCTAGAGAAAAAAACTGCCAAAAAAAAAAAAAAAAAAAATCTTGAAAACTAAGCTGAGGAAAGTTCCACATAATTGGGCGGAGCATGGAGTCCTCAAGACTCACTGAACGGGCCACCTGTTATCAGGTGACGTCCTGCAGCAGGGACTGTCTTAAGAAGTCCTGACAGGATCTGACTTCCTGGGAGGAAGCGGTAGCTTGCTGTGTGGAAACCCTGGGCTCCGTCATCAACAAGGCTGGGCTGAACTGGCACATGTCAGTGTCAGGGGCCACTATAAGAAAGTAGAGAGAGACCAGGGCCAGAAAACTGGGTTCTAGGCAGGTTCTTCCACTTATTGTTGAGACTGGCTCACAGAGAGAGTTGAAATTGGGCAAACAAGCTCAGGCAGCAAACCCCTATACGTCTGCTGTGTGCCAGGCAGTGTGCAGAGTGTTGAGTAACCAAGATATACACCAGGAGGTCCCACTTCTGAAGTGCGACAGGTTGCTGGGGGCCAGGATGGAGGTCTGCGCACAGAATCTAGGGTGTATGTGTGTGTGTGGGGGGAGGGGCACTGCAGAATGGGAGGCCTCGTTACGTTCTGAAAACCTGAACTTGGTCCACTTTCCTCCTTCCTTGCCCTTCATAAACCTTCAGATGATTGTTCACAGCTACTGTCCTAGCACCAAGGACTGCCGATCAAAGGCACCAAAACACTGTCTTTCAATCAGACTATCTGAGTGCCCGCCTCATCTGTGAACCCTCACCACGGGCTAGGTGCCTATCTGAGGGCGCTGGACCTGCCATCACCTTGCTTTACTGGTGAGGCAACTGGGACCAGGAGAGATCCTGGCAAACTGCAGTTTGCATTTCTGCACCGAGCCCAGGACCTAGCAGGAGAATAAATGCCCAGAGCAAGAACAAGAAGAGCAGACGGCATCACCAGGGACAGTGGCTGCTGCCAGTCCCAGCCCTTCGTGGGCCCCGCCAGCGCCAGCCCCAGCCCCAGCCTGCAGACAGTGCTCACCTGTAGTCCCGTAGTGTGAGATTGGTGTACCGCACAGTGTCGTCCATGCTGCAGCTGACGAGCTGCCCAGCCTCGTCCACGGTCATCCTGGACACCTGGTTTGTGTGGCCTTTCCCAGCAAAGGAGTCGTTATCTCCGGTCTCGGAATCCCAGTAATGTGGGGAGGAGGATTAAGGAAAAGCCTGACCTCTGGGACTGTGGTATCTGCACTCTAGTGAGGCCACGGTCAACGCCGAGTCCCAGGCAACCAGAAAAGACCAGCAAGCTGGGGACAGGACTGCAAGCAGGGACCCAAGGGCCACTCCCCATGCGGCTCTTGTAAGCCAGCAAGATGACCCAGCCGCTATCAGCAGGCCAGTGTGACCCAGCATGCCCAGCTCCACATGACGCTTGAGTAGAGCCCACAGAACCACGGAGACCTGCGGAGACCAGCAAGCTTCCATGGTGCAGCCCTAAGAAATGGAACCGCACCACTTTGAGAGCAGATGGTTCTGGAAGTTATTTTTCATTGGGATTCTCTGTGCAACCAAGCCAACCTATCAATCACTTTGCTCTCCTTATAATCTATTTGTGAGTCCATGAACACCAGCAAATGGCCTGCTGCACCCCACTGCCCGGCTGATGGCTGCCCAGATGACAAAAGCGACAGCCTGGGACTAACCCACATTCCAAGTGCCACTTTGTAGTTTCTGAGTCCAGGCACTCTGGGTCTAAGGCAGGACTTCAGTAATGGGACTACTGTTTATCACCAACAAATGAAAGCAATACTTCAAAAGAGATGGCTGTCCCTTAGGAGGCGAGAGGTGGGCTCCACTGTTCCCATGTTCCCGTTGGGGATCCTGGTTGACACCGAATGAGCACTAATAAGTATGGGGGTGAAAGGCCCCTGGTGCCCTGACATGACTGGGGATGGAGCAGGAGAGAGGGGGTAGCACCAGGAGGGGACTGAAGACCGAGCGTGACTAAAGGGGCTCGTGTGCTACTCCAGGAGGGAGGCAGACTCTAGTGCCTTCTCTGCCACCAACTGTGACAGGGCCTTGGGTAAGAGACACCCGCACCATCTCCTCAGTTTAAGGGGGCACGCAGAGGGCATGGAGATGCAGAAGGCATGATTTATCTGTTCTGCCCCCCTCTCTCAGGGCTGCTGGGAAGCCTCCCGGATCTGTGTAAACTGTGAAATGCTGCAAAAACAAGCAGGCCTGCAGAAGGCGACACTTGGGAGTTCCTGACAGCCAATTCCAGGAGGGGTCTCCAGGGGGGCGCCGCAGCACTTAGACAAGAAAACTGTCATGGGCAGAAAGGCAGCCCTTTACGCAGCAGGAGCGCTCGTCTGCAGGGGCCCAGTGCCCAGCGCCAGCGGGGAGCCGCTACGTGTGTGCACACCTGTGCCTGCACACCGGGCCCCTACAGATGGCTGTGCCAGGCCACAAGAAGAGACTCTAATAGTTAGGGAGAGCTGAGGTGACTGACTTACAGAAAACATAGACAGGATTCATAAGGGTTGACCCACATACCTTCAGGGAATGTTGCCGAGGGGGCCAGAGAACCTCCTCAAGAGTCAGGAGACTTTTAGGTTCTGGTCCCAGCTCTGCTGCCAACAAAGCTGCGTGCCTTTGCAGAAAACACTCCATGTCTCTGAGCTTCACTTTTCCCGTTTTTAAAACACAAGGACTCTAATAAAAGATTTCCACGTCCTTTTGAGTTCTAAGACTCAATAACTCTACCGCTAGGATGTTGATATGTACAAGGCAGACACTAGCTCTAATTCACAGGAAGAGAAGTAAGTATTCAGAGACATTAACAACACTACGAAGGCCAGACAGTTAGAAGTCACCGATGGCCACGGCTGCAGCTTTCCTCAGCCGAGGCCCTGATGACACTGTGGCCCTGAGCAGACGGAGCAGAGGACGGGGCACCTGTGTGCAGACACCGCTGGGTCTCAGACACAGCATGGCTGCAGGGCTCGCAGCTGTGACTGGTGTTGCCTCGCCAGCCTTGCTTTTGGCACCGTGGGGACAGGAATGTACCACCTCTCTCACCAGCAGCTCTGGGGCCAACTCTGAGTCCAAGGATATTGATGTGTCCATCATGGCTCCCAGAATAGATGTAGGACTTGCCACCGTTTTTGTGCACCGTCAGACACTGGATTGACTTACTGTGACCCTGTGCAGGAGACAGACAGGGCAGGTGAGCTGAGGACATGCTGTCTGCCCTTGCCACCAAATGACCACTTTCTACCAGCTAAGCCTCCAGGTGACGGAGAACACAGAGAAGCCCCTCAACACACTGGGTGTGCTGAGACCCCCCGTGGCTTCCCTGAAAACACGTTGTACAGGCTGGGCTCAACTCTTCTCAAGTCAGCTCAGCTGATCATCTGACAAACCCCATAAACTGTCCCCTTCCTCCGGCCAAGCCATCCAGCCCTCACCTGGGCCAGGGTTCTACATCAAAGTCTCTGTGGCTGGGTACCCGATGTGCACAGACGCATGACCCACACCTGCCCGGCCTCTCACAGCCACTAAAGTAGAGGGATGCAGTGCGGGGCTGACTTGCACTGTGGTGAGGTGGTGGTAGTAAGACCACCAGGGCTCGCCCACAGAGAAGTAGGTTTGTTCTCTACTCAAGACACACACAATCCAACACTCTCGTTTCAGCCCTTGGGCTGGCTTCTCCTCTTCCAATTCCCCATCCCAGGCCCTGACCCTCTCCCCAGGCAGTAGAGGAGACACCCACGGTCAGCAGTCCACTTCAGAAGGGGGCACCAAACTTCTCTCCTAACTGCTCTCGGGCAGAAGGAGATGGCCATGTGTGTCAACTGTCACCACAGCTCCTCCCATCGAGCCAACGTCCCTCTGCGCTGTTAGGAACGCGTACCAGCCAACTGCCGCGACGCTTGGACAGGGCTCTCCCCCAGAACTTTCCAAGCATTCTGTGGTTTGCTGCCACAATTATCTTCTAGAAAGGTACACACAGTTCTCATGGGACTGGAGTGCCAGAGTGAACACATTGTGTCCTTCCAGCTTTCCCAGGAGAGAAATGGGCAGAAAATCCAGGCGTTCTGAACTGGGGGCTCCTGACACCAGCTTTCTTTCCAGCGCAGCACCCTGCTGGTCTTGCCACTTAAGATGTAGTTCTCAGACCAGCATCAGGCCCACCGGGGTGTCTCATAGCCTACTCAGGCCCCAGAATCAGCCCCTGCACCCAATGAGAGGCTTGGGAACTATGTGCACACTCACACTTGAGGAGCTCCACTGGGAATGGCAGCATCCCCTGGCAGCTGCTCAGAAGCACCAAAGCACAGACACCCAGTGCCCACCCAGAGACATCCACAGATGACCCCAGGAGCTCTGGGGTGAGCCCAGCACCCAGGCTATAACCAGCTTGCCTCCAGTGGTTCTGATGCTGCTGGACCTCGAGAACAGCTGCTCTAGCCGCCCTAAGAATCACCTGGATGCTTTCAAATAACCACACTCCAAGACCCATTCCCAGATGTGCAGACTGCATCCACCTGGGCCAGCCAGGCACCAGCTCACGTGTGAAGCCCCCGGGTGATTTCAACGTGCAGCCAGGCTTCTCCTATGCTCACCCATGCGGCTCAGAAACTTCTGCAGTCTGAGATCAGCCCGACACCTCCCATGATGCATGCATGCACAGCGTCAGGACTGAGCCACGGGTTTCTTTCCTCACAACTTGAAAAGCTGCTGAGATTCCCGCAGCTGACTTGCCAGAGCAACATGAGCCCAACCGTGCGGTGCCCATGAGCAGGCAGCAGGGAGTGCCAGCTTAGGGCTGATCGCACAGGCCTCCCTCGCTCTTAAGGTGGCAGTGTCCATGGAGAGCTTGTCCTGGAGGAGTGGCAGCGGTAGTCCTGAAGCAGGGTGAGAGTGAACGGGTGCAAGGATGGTCTTGGGGCCCCATCAGGGGCAGTGCACAGGAAACTGCTCTCTGGGCCAGAGGAAGCTGGCTGACAGCAACGCTTGAAACGCTCATCTGCAATCGGGCCCTGCTGAGAAGTGACTCTTCAGCTCCCCAAGGCAACAGCCTTCTCATCCCTCAGGCAGCCCCATCTATGGACTCACCCTACTGTACTGAGAGCCTGGCGGGGTCAAGGAGATGGCGCTAGCACCTCTCTGTCCCCAGCGCCACATCAAGTAAACCCCACAAAAGCAGATGATGTGGGGGCCACAAGGGGTCTCTGACCAGACACTCCTTATGCCTGGTACTGGGGTGAATGGTGGCCTCAAAAGACACATTCATGCCCTAACAGCCAGAGCCTGTGAACGTGACCTAGTGGAAAAAAGGTCCCTGCAGATGTGATGAGGCTCAGGATCTCGAGATGAGGGCACCCTGGATTACTGGAGTAGGCCCTGAATCCAACGACAAGCATCCTTGTAAGACACAGAAGACACAGAGAAGATCGTGTGAAGACAGAGGGGCTGCAGTGACAGCCACAAGGAGCGCCTGGGGCCACAAGAAGCCAACAGACCAGGAAGGCTACTCCCCCAGGCATTCAGCCCTGCGGACACCCTGAGTTTGAAGTTCTAGCCTCCAGAACTATGGAGAATGGATTTCTGCTGTTCCAGGCCACCCAGTGTGTGGGAATTTGTGACGGCAGCCCCGGAAAACTCAGACATCTCAGACATCTCAGACATCACCGAACGTGAGGTAGAGAACGGCGATTCTGTGCACACTGAGGTCACCTGGCCAAAGTCACAAAGGGCCTGAGCAGTAGCAGGTGACTGCCAGGCTCTGCCACTCCCTGTGGGCAAGTTCACCTGTAAAGTGTGGCCATTGAAAACAGCAGATACCTCAGGAGGATGTGGGACAAGCCACTTGGAGCCCTCTGCCCAGTGCTGGGCACCAGCTAGCGTTAACTGAGCACTTACTCGTTTAGTGTCCCTGCGTGGTGCAAACAGTTAAGCACTCGGCTGCTAATAAAAAGGTTGGAGGTCCGAGTCTGCCCAGAGGTGCCAAGGAAGAAAGGCCTGGTGATCTAGTTCAAAAAGTCAAGCGTTTAAAAACCCTAGGGATCACATTTCACCTCTGACACACATGGGGTCACCGTGAACTGGAGTCAACTCCACAGCAACTGCTTACTAGTTTAGTGGCCTCCTCCTCCTGCAAGGTGCACCTGAGCAGGCCTGCAATGTGGCCTGTACTAGCCCTGCAGGGTGTAGTGCTTCCCCAGAGGCCTGTGTGCACAGCCCCACAGCAGCTGGACAAGAAGTGGGAGAGAGAAGGGCTGAGTCTGCCGCCTGGAGTGGCCTGAAATGGCCCAAGAAAGGCCCAGCTGCCAGGAAGATGTGCACGGTGTGGACCTGGACTGCACGGAGCCACTGCCCTTGGAATCACGACTCAGAGGCACGGGGGATAGGGGACCACCCTCCAAGGCCACAAGAGCAGGGTAAGCCCGACCCTGAGCTCCCGCTCCGACAGCGCCCCCACCAGCGCCCCGTCAAAGAAAAATCTGAACAGGTGGAACTTCTGGAGCAGGGACTCAAGGGCCCAGAAGAGAGGCCCCTGCCCTCAGGAGCTCCTAGTCTGGCTGCAGGTCCCCTGTAGTGTCAAAAGCGAGGGGGCTAGCGGAAGGAGAGCATGACCCCGCCGCCCCAGAGGCTGGACACAGGGCAGACCCCAGTGAGCACGCAGCTTGAGCCAGCCCCTCCCGGTGACGTAGATGGAAGCAGTTTAAGAATCTCCCCTCATCACTGTCCTGGCCCCTGGGCCCGGCACACGAGGCCCGGTCCCACTAGTTTAGGGGGCTCATTTCCCCAAACCTCAGCTCTCCCTCCTGCATTCCTTCCCTGCTCCCTCCACATAGCACTCACCGACCCTCACGCTTATCCCCACAGTCAGCGCCCTGATCCAAGGCTTCCCCTCCTCCCCCTCCTGGAGGCTCTCCCCAGGCCTCCCGGCCCGACACTCTCCCTCTCCCTCGCTCCTCTCAATGCTCAACTCACCCCTGGGCCTGGCACGCCCCAAGCCTCCTTGTCTTGCTGCGCACACGGTCATGGGGGCATTTATCTTGTTTCTGTACTAGCCTATGAGCTCCTGTAAGGGGGCCAATGGCAGCCTCCCTCTAAGCCCCAGGCTCTGAATGCCCAGATCTTAAGCCTCAGGCTCTGAACGTCCAGATCTAAAGGGTGAATGCCCAGATCTTAAGCCTCAGGCTCTGAACGTCCAGATCTAAAGGGACTCAGCTTCTGGCCTCCCTTCTCCTCCGCTAAACACAGGTCCCCGAGAAGCATCGCGCTCCCAAAACACTGCCGGGCCCAGGGGGCTCAGGGCAGCTCCTCACTTCCTCCCTTTTCCTAGATGGGCCCACACTCATCTTCCCACAACCTCCCCAAAGGAAAGCTGCTCCCCAGTCCTCATCCGTACCTTGATGACCCGCAGGGGCTTGCTGGGGTTGTTCTTGTCCAGGTAGTTGATGTAGCCAGAGAGTGAGATGCTGAGCAGGTGGTCCTTCTGCCACAAGCAGCCGAGCTGCTGGTCCAGAACGGTGGAGCCCATGGTAAACGTGCTGACGACGGAATTTACATTGACGTCCCAGATCTTAGAAGTTTTGTCTCCGGAAGCAGAAAGCAAGTGGGTGCTATCAGGACTCCAGCTAATCTATTGACACAAAAACAGTGTGGCACGGGTCAGGGAATTTTGGGGTGGGAAGAGACCTCAGAGAGCAGTGTGTCCACAGCCTCCGCTTCTGAGGGGTGAAAATGGAAGCCCAGGGCAGTGAGGGGACACTCAGGGTGGGAAAAGGACTGGAGTCCAGGCCTCTTCTCCCACCTACTGGCTCCTCCCCACCCCACCACCCTCTTCCATGTAACCTTGCAGCTCGGCACCACTGTCCACTTTTAACCCCTCATTTCCAAGTCTAACTTCAAAATGAGTGCCGGCGACTACAAACAGCCAGATGACAGCCTCTTACAAAGTCATACAATGCAGATCCGTACTTACAGCATAAATCCCTCCGTCGTGAGCCTTGCTTCCTCCCAGGGTGCTCACTTTCTCTCCCGTCTTTCCGTCGTAGATGTATATCTTTCAGGAAATAAAAATATAGGTGGGTCATACACGCCTGTGTGTGTGTGTGTGTGCGCGTGTGTGCGCGCGCGCGCATGCGTGAATATCCTCGGCACTCAACGTGAAATGAACTCTTGCGCATCTACCATTTCTCTATCAGCAAGAGTTTGGGATTGTGGCTCTTAAAAAGAAAGAATCAACCTAAAAATAAAAAGTGCTTATATACTGAGAGGAGCCCTGGTGGCACAGTGGTTAAAGCATTCAGCTGTTAACTGAAAGGTTGGCAGTTTGAAACCACCAGCCGCTCCACGGGAAAAAGATGTGGCAGTCCGCTTCCGTAAAGATTAAAAACCAAAAAACCAAACCCAATGCCGTTGAGTCGATTCTGACTCATAGCAACCCTATAGGACTGAGTAGGACTGCCCCATAGGGTTTCCAAGGAGCAGTTGGTGGATTCAAACTGCTGACCTTTTGGTTAGCAGCCTAAGCTCTCAAGCCCTGTGCCACGAGGGCTCCTAGGAAACCCTATGGGGCAGTTCTACTCTATCCTACTGGGTTGCTGAGTCAGAATCGACTCAATGGCAGTGGGTTTGAGTTTTGGTTTTATAGACTGAGTTTCAAGTTCTATTTAAAAAAGAGAGAAATGGAGACATGTCTACTTTGCTTTGATGGCACAGCCCCGGTGCCCTGCCATACAGGGGGAGTGACATTTCTAAGCTCCATATATCAGGACAGGCAGTAAGACTGTGTGTTCTGAAACCGCTTCACTGGCCAGGAAATGAGCAGCCACTTCCACTGTGCCCCACACCCAGTCCGTCTGGAACAAAGAAAGTGCCACCTTACCTGGCCGTCAGCGCTGGCTGTGGCAAATCTGTTCCCGTCAGGAGAGAACCTCACACAGTTGACAAAGCGGCTGTGGTCCTGTGGGAAATGGGACAATTATCGTCCTGGACAACAGGCCAGAGCCCAGACACTGAAAATGTTCTCTGTGAAATATAAAGCCTGCTTCAAACATTAGCTAGCATTATCAATTCTGTTTAGTCTACT